CAAACAACTTCCACAACTTCGGACCTTCTGGAGCCGACAGAGGTACAAAGCCATACAATCTTCCAGCCAGTGCTCAGGCGTAGAAATACTGAACATTCCACACCATTGTGCTACATGCAAACCTATTCCACCTATGGATGTAAGAACATTCGCACCACTATTCAAACCTGAACTAATACCCATCCAAGGGAAATACTGGACATTCCAAAACCATCAAAATCATTCATTTCAATCGAAAAATCATTCACACCTATTCTAGTGATCAGGAAGCTCATTCAGCCCCGAGAGAAGGAACCATAGCTCAACAGATTTGGCAAGAGATAAGAGGGCCTGCAACTGGGTACAGCTGGAGGCCCTGAGCCCAGCACTAGGCACTGTGATACCAGCAACATGCCCTGATCCCAACGCGGTGTGTTGACCTGAGGTGGGCTCCTTGGGGAGAGTTTGAGATTCCCAGTGAGAGGTAGGCCTCGCGCATGAAGAAGAGCAGCCCTCACAAACACTGAACACCAGCAACTAACTATGAACCTCCACTCGATGCCTGGAGCCGACCGAAGTCATCCAGAGACACAAGACACTAACCGGGGCAACATCAGCAACATTCCCCACCATTCAAGACAACAACCCACTCACAAGGACCACCAGAAAAGAAAGAAAACCCGAGGTACTCATCGGTCTGGTCCCACGTGTCTAACCACATCATCAGACACCACTAAACTGACTGTAACTGGTACTTACGGTCCTTCGCAGAGTCCCAGCTACGGCAAGAGACAAGAGTCAATCAAAATTGCACTTTCACACCAGCGGTGAGCCTAAGGTCATCGAGACCCTCTAACCCAGCTTGGCAAGTCTTAGATAGGGGAAGGTGGGGTTCGGGAGGGCTGACGGTGTAGGGCACCCCTCAGGAAGGGAATGGAATAGGACTTTGGGTCAGCAGGTAATGTCTCTCTCACTCTCTTTTCCCAGATAGCATAAGTAGCAGCCACCCACTGTATCTATTTATCCATTATATCAAGTCTTGGCTGCAAGGCTTAACTGGGGGTCGAGTTAACTGGGAGACAGGTCTCAGTCAGAGATAGGCGGGTTTGGATATTCACTTTCTTTTTTTCTGCAAATATATTCAATTGCTTGATTTTCAATAAAATCAGAGGTTTTTATTGCCTCTGAAGCAACTGCCTCCTGTGTTTTCCACCACACCACACTCCACTACATAAAAGCCCAGTGACAGAACCAGGGGGCTGGTAAACAGTAAACCCTACACTGCATCATTCAGAATGACTACCAGTTTACTGAATTTGTCACTGTGCTCATTGTTGCCTTGGAAACTTGATGGGTGAAGACAAGCAGTGACAACTCACTGTATGTGGTGCCTTCACTGTGGTCAGCTTGCTGCATAGTGCAATGACAATTTAAATTTCTATCTAGGTAAAAAAAGTGCAGTGTTAGGACATTAGCCTCTTTTCCCCATTGGAGAGTTTAAGGTTGGTTAAATTGGCTTAAGAGCCAGGGGTCGCTCCATTCCTGCCTGATGCCTCTGCCAACTTTAAAGTTGGCAGGGGTCCCATTGTAGACAGGCCAAGACTGAGTTTACTTTCAAATTTTGTAGCTTGATAACACTGTGATCGAATCTTAACACCAGTCAGGGAGACCACTGCATTGGCTGTAGCCTGATAGCAAGAGCACCATTTAGAGTCTCCAACTAGAAGAGGACCAGGTAAGTTTCAAGAAATTTCCCTCCATTGCAGGCCAGGTGGAGCAAAAGTGGCCACTATAGAGCCGTAATGAAAATGTAAGCCCTTTCCTGTATATTCAAATAAACACTCCTGATAGCAGTGGAACTCCGCTCCCCTCACTTCCCGGAGCACCTACTCCCTGTAGCTGTCAGCAGCTAGTTCTACGAGTGGCTCCCACTACCAAATTTTTGCATACAACTGCAAAGTTGGAAGTGGATTTGGTCAGAAGTTGCCCCAAGGCTTGGAAAGCTTTCACACAAACGAGGCCCTGTTTATTATATCCCCTAAGATTGCAAATTACTGGATTCTGCAGGTGCACCAATTGCTTTAGACAATGTGTGCACCTCTTCTCCTGCCCACTTTTAAAAGTGGAGCCTGGGTTTCAGCTGAGAGAGGCTGTTCATGGTTGAATTGCAGCACTAGTAACTTGATGCACACCCAATTAAGATCTTCTGCACATTTACCTCCTGCTGCCACCTGTCATATTACTTTTTTTTGGGGGCATGGGGTCTTGTTTTTGGCACTTTAGCACAGTTTGACCCAGGAGAATGCAATTGGTCATCTAGATAATAAGGCAGGCTTAACCCTGCAGGATATTACAGCCGAGATAAATCAAGCCTTTGTGCGGTATCCACTTTTATATTAGATTCTGATGACTCTCAGGTCTATCACAGTGTCACTATCTCGGTGCATTCAACCACTTCATCACCAGGGAACCCCAACTGCCATTGTTGTTCACCCAGTAATGTGCACAGCTAATGACTCAGGATTAACGTGTGTTTTCTACAATAGTCTGCATTGCAAGTTCCAAAAGTGCATTGTGTAAATGCTCAACAGAATCTCAGGCAATTTGCATTCTTATTTGATGGCTCTTAATCCCCGTTGACTGCAAGAGCGTTCTGATCTACCCATGACACTCTCACCAGACCTAACCAATGAAACAAAATCTTGGTGTATAATTCAAGAAACGGAGCCTTCACTAAGTATGATTCCCCAGATAAAATAAAGACATTAACTAAAGGTCATCTTTATAACTCAACCACAAGCCTCAAACTAATCTCTGCTGATCAGCATTCTAATTTTGCAAAACATAACACACAATTCTCATGCTGACTTAGAAGCTCAATCACAATAGGATCACATGGAAGTTTGCAGCACAGATTAAGACCACTCAATCCTTTATCCCCATACTGGTTCTTTGCTGGAGCAATCCGGAACAAATTGCATTGCATAATTTGTTCCGCTTCTCAAAATGTTAATCCTATTTTATAAAAGAGCAGCTTGTTTCTGTCTCAGACACTCTCAATCTCAAGAAACTTATCCCAACCACTCTCTTTGCTCTCTTTATGACAACATTAAATAAAGGATCACTTGGAACTGATCCTCTAACCGGACGAGGCAGTCTTTAATAAATCACTCTATCAAAGAACTTTACATTTCAAAATCATCTTCTGACCTTCCCTGTGTCACTTAATAAGCTTTTGTGGCAGTTTATCTCACATAAATGCAATTGCCAATTCAAAGGTGTCGTCCTGACAAATCTGTGCTTTGTTCTTCTCATGGTTTTTATATCCTAAACAAAATGAAACAGCTCAAGTTGTACAGAATATGCTGAAGGAGGCTTGACCAATGCTTTGCATCAACGGTTGATCATTTTCTTAAGTTAAAATCAGTGCTGTTCCCCACTGATGCTGTGAATGGATAAGTATAATGTGAAGTATAATACCAAATCAAGTTGACCAGGAACAACATTAGTTCAAGGTTACAAAGGGAATGCCATAAGTAGTTCCGCTATCCTTACCTTACAGTGCGAAAACAAAACCAGTATTTCTCTCTGGTTATCTTGTTAGTAATATAGGTTAGTGTTCATTCACCTACCAATGTGCAACTTCACATGTATGGAACTGCGCTCCCTTGTGGAAACAAATTGCAAAGGCAGATTCATCACCTTCAACAGAGAATGGCTGAATATCAGAGGAGGGCACGTTAAAATGTGTTTCTTGTCATGATCTTTAATTGAAGAGAAAAGTGTCGACATAAATCTATTGCTTACAAAGATGGACAGGAGAAGAATAGCAGGGGTGCAGGTGACAGTGAGGGGTCACCTCTGGACCCAACACTGTCAACGTACAGTCCTGTACTTGTACCATTAACTTATGGAACTTTTTTTCATTATTGCATTACCCCTTTCCTGCATGCATTTGCAAATACAGAACAAAGATTATGGGGAAGATTTTGATGTGCCACGTGCACAGAGGGGAGGCTCTGAAGTAGATGGCATGCCCAGAAGTTCCAAAGGATCCAAGGTGAGAGTGCTTCAGATGCCAAGCTTCATCCTGCACATAGCCAATCGGAAAAAAGTCAAGGTCGGTAGATGGGAGTGTGAACTGGAATGGAAGCTGACTACCACCTTGGGACCCAAAGTCTTTAGCACAAGTTAACTGTTTCACTGAGGTGGGCAGGAACGTTCCAAAAAGGATGTAAGTATCCAGAAGTCTGGGCGAGGGGAGGACCTGTATCAGTTTGTCCTCGCTCTGGAGGGTATTGCCAAAAGATTAAAATATGATACTCACTGGCCCCTTTCGCCCCCTGTGTTGCATCCCACCACATCTCTCCAGCAGGTTTCACATCGTGCAAGCCTGACTACTTCTGATAAATTTAGGCCCCAACTGCATCTCGAGTGACTCAGGGCTCATGCCTGCTGCAGACTGCCTTCACAGCCAACAAAGATAAAATGCCAACAGGAATGGTGGCAGTTATAAGTGGACAGTGCTGATTTTAAACCATTCCACATGCCATTTCTGCCAAGTGAAGTGTTTGGGAGGAAAAACGTGCTAAACATCAACCTTAGTCTTTATTTGTCGGCAGTGAGACTGCAGGTCATTCTGCACTGTTCACCCAAGAGGCTACAAAGGAAATCTGTGCATTCCTGTCCAAATTTCAACTGACAGGTTAACATTTCCACAATCTGAATTATCCATACGCCAACTTCTGTTCTTGTTAAGCTGCAAGAAGAAGTGATGAGGAGTCTTTATTAACAAAGAGGTACTTTTGTATTTCAGAGGGAAATGACAAACAGTACTAAAGACAACAAACTGATCAAGCACAATTTATTCTACCTGTACTTGCCTTGAGATTTATCGATTGGTTCCAATGTTAACAATATCCTCTTTCTGTTGATGATTATTGGCCCATTTGTTTGTAAAGATACAAAGATAGCTTTTTTAAAAAAATGATAAGCCACAAGCCCCCGGTGAGATAGCCTACCTTATCAGGGTCTGTAGCACTGATAACCCAGACGCAATGAGCATTGTTTTCATATTGGACTGGATAATTGGGGGATGTGATGGTGCCACTTGGTCCTCGTAGATTGGAGCCACATGTTCTCGCTAAATTGGAAGAGAAAATAAGAAATTTGCATTCAAGTAACCCAAAGACAACAGTAAGTGAAATTTCTCAACAACAGAAACATCTAGAGCACTAATCTGCATAAGAAAACAACACAGCATTGGAAACTCTCTTTCAGAAAGACCACAGGGAATGATTGGTGAGGAAAATAGTCACGTCACGTTGATGTTTGAATGATGGTTCCTCTGAATCTGAGATTAAGTCAAATCATTGAGGTATAGTGGGAGAAGTTCTACCCTGCATATTAGATTTGTGATACTTAGAATTGTTGACTGGAAGGCAGTTATTCTCATTGTCACTGATTTCTATTAGAAGAGTCACAGGTCAATATCAGGTGTTGGGATTTGGAATCCAGTTTAAATACAATGTCTAGCAGAGTGCCTCTCAGACAGCAAGAATGAGCAACCAGAGAGTTGCCACAACATGAATCAATGAGTGCAGAGGGAAAAGGAGACAATAAAATAGTGTTTAATTTTGTTTCCTCAGCTGTACTTCCTCTCCTCAAAGGTCCTCCACCAGCACTAAACCAAATATCCTCCATGGCTTCTCACTTTATTGGATATAACAAACAGCGAAGGAGTCGCTGTCCCCAGTCTAACTGCTCTGTCTATTCACTCTTACCTGAGCTACAGCAAGTTAAAAGATCCAATCTTTGTATTTTTTGACCAGCTGATACTGTGCTGTGTACCACGGTGTAATTAAAGACACTCGGATCTACAAATTATGAATCAGTTAATGCAGCAAGATTGGCTCTAAAGCAGTAATCCTGGCCGAATATTCAGTTTCCTCTGTTTGCCCAAATCAGTTGGAATATTTACTGGGCAGTGAGTACTCTGTAGACCAAAAAGGTACCAGATTCACCCCTAAGCAGAGTTTCACAGATCCCAACCATTGAGGCAAAGAGAGATATGAAAATGGTTTCAGGCTCCCTCAGCAAGGGAGGGGATAAACAATTCACCGTCTCTGCTTCCAGGACAACGCTTGCTGGAACCTGTTTACGTGCAAGCATCAGAGGAGGATGGGATCAGGTGACAAAGAGTTAAATAGTCGGCTAACACTTTAAAGGGAGAATGGTGAATGAAAACACTAGAAATACTGAGGTCAGGCAACAACTTTGGAGAGAGAGAAACAGGGTTAATACTGCAGACATCTTTGGTAAAATATTGGCCAGCGGCAGGACTTCTGGGACTTCCAGTATGTATCAATGGTATTAGAAAATGTACAGCTTATCAAAGTTCATGTCTGAACTAAAAAGACAAAAATTTGCAATTGGCATTTATATATGTTATCCAATGGGTTTAAGAATAGAAAACCTTCTCTTTATCTTTAGTACTCAATCACATAATTCAATTAAGATATGGAAAGAAACCCCTATTTAGGTTTTTATCCATTTGGCTTTGTACATTGATGCAACCAGATGTGACAGAGCTTTCCCTCTTGTCAATTCCCACCAAGACTTCTTTCCTCACAATCTCTATAACCTCTTCCATTCCAGCAACCCACTGGGACTTCTTTAAATCAGGCCTGCTCAGCATCCTGGATTTTTGATTGTTCCACCATAGATGGCTGTGTCTTAAACTAATACATCCAAAATACTCAAATTCTTTCTCCAAATCGCTATGCATCTGTAAACCCCTCTCTCCCTTTAAGATGCCCATTAAAAGCTATATCTTTGTCCAAGCATTTGGTGATGAGCTCTCAATTGTTTGGTTCAATGTGAAAGTTTGCTTGATAAAGCTCCTGTGAAATGCGTTGGTGTCATTTTCTATATCACGTAGGTTCAATTTACATGTACTGTAACTTAGGTTTACTTTCCTATTTATGAAGAAACTGTGGCTGAATTTTCAACTGGTGCACATTTTGGTATTTATTTTTGGAGGAAATCAGTTCTCCTCCACACTCTCAGACCTGAACCATTTTCTCTGGCTTTTTTGCAGGTTGGGAATGGCTAGTGCTGTAGCGGTTGGGTTTCCCATTTTAAATGGGGTGGGCAAAAAATGGCTTTTCTCTCATACATCATTTTCATCTGGTGCACTGAGGTTTTGGAAGCTCAACACTGTACTGCTGGGTCCTTTAATGCAACAATTCATCTTTGAGATCTATCCTTGAAAGCAACTTGACACTTGCATTGACAAGGCTTCTTCAGTTGTTCACAACCATTAGAGAATGGATCATAAGGCAGTATAAAATGTTGCAAGATGTGCTGTCATCTTTCTGATTGTCATTTAAATGCCTCAGGCTGATTTTAAAATGGTCTTGATGCTTGGAAAAAACAATACGAACCACCTGCTCCCCTATACTGATTGACAGACTCTGCTTTGAAAATGAAATAGCCACTTTCTGTTCTTTCCTCCCCATAGGCATCTAGCTGGGCTACACTGAATGCTTGGCTCAGTTTCAAACACTAATGAGTTTTAGCACACTAGGTACTGCATTCATCTATGAATAGATGCCAGTTTCAAGAACATGTCACTTTGATGTGATCCCTGCTATGTTAAACACAAGCAAAAAAAATTATAGGTATTCAAAGTACTTTTTTTTCCTTTTAAATCATATGCCTGAACTCTTCCTTTCCCTCAGGATCAAACATATGGAGGTTTGGTGAGAGGTTAACCCCCATCCCACCATTCCCCATATGTTGTAAAACATCTTCCATGGGTATTCTGTGGAAGCTGAGAACTGTATATTGTGCATATTGGGTGAGTGGCTATAAAGCACATATGGGGGTTTTGAAGTAGTATGAGTGATTTAACAGGGCATGGAGAATACATGAGATTGGAAAGGTGGCATGGGCAATGTGAAGGGCATGGGGCATTATTGTGGAAGTGGGGAAAGTGGACCTTTGCAAACTGTTGGGAGTTAGTGTTTGAGAACTGAATTGGTCATTCTAACTTCCCACCTCCACAGCCAGGTTCCTCCTATATTCGGGGTGGGGTGGGGGGGGCTGGTGCTTGTAAACTAACTGAGAACCCAATCAATACAAAAATGATGTAAGAAGTCACACATGGAGTAGGTGTGCATGATCTATGCAAGGACACAGGTTGGATTTTTCCAAGCCCTGCCTATCACTCTGTAAAACCCTTCTTTGACCAAGCCAAGACTGAACTCACACATCAACAAAATAGAAGCACCAACTCATTCTACCATGAGAAATACTGGGGGAACCATCAAACTGTATTGGCACAGAAAGTGCCTTTTATTGATGTTTTCTCAAAGGCTCAGTGAGGACAACTGAGGGGAAATAATCATAAGTTGAGCATTGAATGTAAATTGTACAGTTAGGATAGTTTTTCATGTTTCGACTCCTGAAATAAACAGAATTTCTGCTCACATTTAATTCAGGATCAGTCCTTCTGAAGGAAGAAGAAACATTGTAGCTATGGTGTAATAGATTACAGAAAACAAAAGCCTTACAATTTTCTATGAAATTAAAAATTCGTTGTACAGAGATTTTTTTTCAAATTGAAACCAGAAGCTAATTTAATTGATAAAGGTGGAATCTTCTAAATCAGCTTTTCCATGCAAGCAAATTCTCTCTTGTGTTTCTAAGCTGCAGATGCGCAGGAAAAACATGCTCTCCAAAAGATGAATAACAATCCACTCAGGGATTACTCAGATGTGACAAGCATTTATATTGCTACTGTTGCTATGGTTTTTCTCCAAATGAATGATATACAAAGGCGTTGTACTCATCAATCTGTATTGATGAATTCTGTAATTATGATACTTGCACATTCTGTTTCTGCTCTGCAGCTAGGTGATATTTTAAAATGAAAGTATAAGAAATCAGAAAGAAATATATACTTGCAACCCACCCTCTCGTAAATGTACAGTGTCATCATTTTGAGGATAAATGGCTTGATCACATTAATGTTCCAGACGTGATTACCTCCTTTTTTTCACTGCTTGTTGAGGCTGATTTGTTCTCATAAAGAGAGGAAGTGCATCACCCAGTCAAGTAAAGGATTCCAACCAGAGGATGCGTCACTCAAGACTCACATAAGATGAATAGATCTATTATAAGTATTAATACTTTAAATACTGTTCAGCTTGCCGAGACTCACTAGCTCAAGTCAATCTGCTGAGTTTATTCCATGTTATTGCACAAAGCACTATCAAGATCTTTAGGGTATCTTGTCCCAACTATACCAGTGCATTATTTACTTTTGTAGTGTATTATCCACTTTAATGTGTTCTTTTCTTCTTTCAAATTATCAAATTAAACTAGTGTTGGTGGAGTCCTCTGCTGATGTTGTCTCATGGTAGGGAAATTGAACACTGGAGGTGAAATGGTACCCTGACTGAAGAACTACAATGTGATTTCGAAAACAGGAAAGGTAGATTGGGAAATTTGGCCACGTCACAGACTTACTCAAATTTGCAAGAGTCTACATATTGATCTTAAAACAGCACTGGAGCCGAGAGAGAAATGTCGCCCCATTACATGTGATCACAAAAATACCTTCTTTACTCCAACACTGGAGATTAAAATGGATGTTGGTGATAAAACACCAGATTGCTGCCTGTATTTACTCAAGCATAACCTTGAAATTCAGGTCCAGAGAGAATACAGCTTCCAACGGTACAGTGATGTAATTCAAAACCAATTACATGGGTCAAAACAGGTATAACATTATGTGACACACAGACATAGCAAGAAAAATGTACAAAGAAGCCCTCAGAAAAATTGTTTTTGGAGGTAGCGCAGTGGTTTGGATAGCTGCTGTAAAGATGAGCTTGGAGATTTGTCAATGAATTGACAACACTGAGACAGACCACAGCTCACAGGACTCCAAAGTAACCAGTGTATTTGTGATGATGCATTAATGTTAAGCAGCTAATAAAGGTGTACAACATTTGGTGGAAGAGGATCCAAACTGTTGTGTGCCACTGATATCTCATCCAGAACCATTAGACTAAATAAGGAAGTCTTACAGTTTCCCTCTCCAGAAATGCCACCTGACACGATGAGTATTTCCAACGTTTTCTGTTTTTGCTTCAGATTTCCCATATCTACAGTATTCCACTTTTGTGACAAAACTCAGTTTGATCTGTTCCAATCACATCTTCTTTCCACCACCCCAAGTATTGACGACCAAATTGAGAGGTTGGAGCGAGCGAAAGAAAATTACACTGAAATAAGCCACAAAGAAAATGTGGAACATTCTTCTTTCATATGCTAGAATGGGGGACAGCAGATAGCCTACCAGGAGGCTTCTGATGATGCTCATCTGTAACCATGCAACAACTTCATTGTGGGTTGCTTGGAACAGTTTGTGCACATGTTGGTTTCTTGTCCTATTTGTCTTTGGGAAAATGCCTAATTTCCTTAGTGTCAATCTGATTAAGATTAGGGATTCATTTTGTGGCACACCATGATAAAGGACCATACATCTTTCATGGGTAACATTTGTTATGCACATTATGAACCAAAAATATAACAAATTAATTAGTACAGCTTCAATAGTAGAAGTAACGTTGAGCTAACTGTATGGAATTTTTAAACTAAGTAACAGAGACAGAGTCGACAAGGATAAAGCAGTGGATGCAACATACACAGACTTTTAAAAGGCCTGTCATTTAGACTGTGGCAAAAGAATTTGAAATCAAAGGAAAGTAATGGACTGCACCGTAAACTGCCTGCAAAATAGAAAGCAGAGAATGAAGGAGAATGGATTACCCAAATTTGCAAAAGGTAGAAAATAGTGTTCCACAGGAATTGGCACTGGCATGACTGTTATTCACTCTTTTGTTAAAAGATTTGAATTTGAGAATCTGATTTACAATTTTCACATTTCTGAAGGACACCAAGTTTTTCTTCTGGAGGTGGGGTTGTTTAATTGGCAAATTCATTTCAATTTAAATAAGTGGCAGCTGGAGCTGAGCCACAGAAACTGCAAACAAAGTGCCATGGTTTATTTCCCAAGGAATAGAAATTGAAAAGCAGAGGAGCATTGTTAAACTTATATGGGATTTTGATTAACCCATATTTCAAATGTTGAGTACAGGTTGGAGCATTACGTAAGTTGGAAACTGGTTTTCGCACTCGCTGTGGCATTTGTTCAAGGAAGAGGATGGTGGGTAAGGATTCTGTCACTCTCCTGCTTTTGCCCTGATTACATCTGTGGCAGGAAGTTACTCAACTAGCCTGCTGAACCGATGATGAAACAAGGTTCTTAAGCAGTCAATGTTTGCCCACTTAAGAGTCTCAGCCTGCTGCCTTTCATATTGATTCAGCAAAGGGTGGTGGACTTGCAATGCAGGGAACCCAAGAAACAAACACAATCAGGCTTACTTTTAGGCTCCCATACGAGTCTATCATTGAAAGTCACTCATTGCTTGAAGGGAGAGCTAAATATTTGCTCTTGCTTTCAGACTGTCCCCTTGGCCCCCACCACTTGATCATGCTCCCATCATCACTTGCCTGTGCCTGTGTATTAACAGTCCAAGGCCTCAAAGGGTTGTAGTACTAGCAGCAACCACTGCCTGCTTGGTAGCGCTGCTGAGCAACAATGACCTGCCAGCTTCTGATTGACTGGCAGCACTGAGCTATGGGACTTTTGCCTGGGAGGCCCTTATTTCTGAGGAAGGACCAGCACAGTCCAGTTAAATGTATGATTAGCACGTAATTCTGAGGGCCTTTCCCGAAGGGGGCAACATCAGGTTCTCCAGCCAGCAGGCAAGACCCTCAAACATCTCATTTAATCCTACCCTAAACCTCCAGATTTCTAGGAGAAATTTATAAATTGGAATTCCTGGTTGTGGCATTAAACTTCTGCGAAATCAGCCATGACTTAGTTGCTCAGGGAACAGAAATTGATTCGAAAGAAAATGTACACTGAGCTGGGAGGTCAATTAGAGAGAAACTCTTGTTGCACTTGGCTTGGTGCATAAATGAAAGAGCTACAACCCTATTTGGCAAAAAAAAAGCAGCTATCAGAAAGAACTTCAACTTGGATAAAGAAACTGAACCTCCACCTGGAAAGCGGCAAGTTTTGAGTAGATGAGATTAATGCCAATATATGAAGGGATGACTAAAATCTGCGAGATCTACCTTATTTGATCAACTACTTACGGTATAAGGGTGATATCTATTGAATATAATTCGGCAGTTAATTCATGCTTACTTTATGACAACTTTGGATGATTGTTACAGTACAGATTTAAAAACGAAATCTTCTCCATAGGTTTCTTCCATTGAGCTATTTTGTGAGATTTGTTTCTTTTATTTTACTGATCTCCACAGTGATAATAACAACAATTTTGACATGCATGTTACAAAAATAGAATATAGATGCACTGCAAATGGTGAAAAATGACAAAGATACTATCAGGAAAGATTGTACAAGCTGGGTTTTTTTTCCTATAAAAGACTGAGAAGTGGCCTAATTGAGGTCATTAAAATTATGATGGAGCTCAGTTTATTTGGCATGGAAAAGATTTGTTGCAATTGTTGGGAGTTCAAAACTGGGAACTGTCACTAATAAATGCATTGAAACATTTAGGAGAAATTTCTTCACTTCCAGCTTGATGGGAATGTGAAAGTTGCACTTATAAATAACTGCAAGACTCAACCCTAAGTGGTAATGATGATGAGATGTTTATTTTTTATCCAAGAACACGACCAGAAGAGGTAATCTTATTGAAAACTGGGAATCGTTGAAACCACTAGCACAGATGACGTTGAGGGAAAGTTAGATCACAAAGAAAGGGAGCAAGATATAGTGGAAACATTGAAAGGGTGAGGGAAAAGTGGGAGGGAGGTTCATTTGGTAGAATAAGCACCAACATAGATTGGTTGGACTGATTAGCCTTTCTCTGGAATATAAATTCCAAATAATTAATTCACAACTCGATTCATTTCCTGTGATAACACATTGGTGCACAATATACTGGACCACTTAACACATGTTTTTTAAGGAACAAGAAACAACTCAAAAGATGTTAATTTTTGAACCACAGTTTGTTTTCACTTTGTTTTTTTTATAACCCTCCAAGGAATTTACTTAACATATTTCCAAATAGTCTACATGGAGAAGATATTAAATGAGTATATTATGTGTGAAAATGGAAATCAACAAAGCCTTTCTTTCAGTTAGCAGAGTGACAGTGTCCTTTACATGAAGTAACTTGATTTGGAAACCATTTTTGATCACTTACCCCTGCAGACTGGCCTGTGGTCACTCCAAGCAACCAATGTGTCTGTCACTTTCTGACAAGTAATGCTTTTGGACCCCTGAAGCACGTAGCTGTCATCACATGAAAACTGTAAACTGGCTCCCAACCTGAAGGAATTACAAACAGGATTGCAAAGGTTACTACTGTTCAGAAATTAGAATCATGTCCCTCTTCCTTCAATTAAATGCTTTGAATCACAAAGACATTGTCCATAATAAATATTCAACTCTTCAGACATTCAATGAGTCAGGAGGATGGTTCCATGAGCTGTGGATAACAATGGCACTGTGGTAATGTTACTGTACTGGCAATCGAGACACCCAGGCTAATGATGTGGGAACAACAGGCTCACATAGGCTGACATGCAGCTTAGTAAAGCTCCTTAGACAACACATTCCAAACCCTTCACCACTGCCATCAAGAAAAACAGGACCAGCATTTTATTATGATCTTGTAGGCCCAATTATTATGGGTACACGCCCAGTTGATGTTAACACCAGATAAGTCATATCCCTGATGGAAACCTGGCTGGATAGATTCTAACTTATTTTTAAATTTTTTGTTACTATTTTTGAAAGGATCTTTTACTAAAACAATTATAACACTATATTGTGGACTCTGTTCTGCGACCTCGATGCACTTTGTATGGTATGATCTGCCTGTATAGCATGCAAAACAACACTTTTCACTGTATCTCAGTACATGTGACAGCGATCAATCAAACTCAATGTTGCAGTCTTTATTTTAGCAATATTGTCGGCGTTCTGGTTTATGATCAGTAATTTGCCCAGTGTTAATTGCCCATCCCTAGTTGCCTTCTTGAACCACTGCAAGCCATTTGGTGTAGGTACACCCAGTTTGAAAGGTCCGTGACGAAGTTCCCAGATAGGGAATGTGAAATGAAGAAGGCAGTAGACAAGTGTTTCAGGGCAAAAGATTCTCTGTGTTTATTAAATATAAAAGGTGAAAATATTACAAGAAATAAAAGCAAATACAAAACTGTGAAATTGGCACTATCAATTATACAAAGGACAATGCTAAATATACTATTAAATTAAACACAGGTTGAACACAATTAGAAGTTAAACAGTAGTTTTATTCATAGAAACTTCAATCAGGCTTCCTACCCTTGGGGTTCCCTGCACTGTAACCACCCACCTTCCCCTCCCTGCTAGGTGGTTGGATACTTTGGAGTCTCAAGAATATAAGCTCACCACTGGGGATAAACGTGATTTTGAAACATAGCTAAGTGTTCCCGCTTGCCGTAGTTGGTGCTTCGATGAAGCCTTCAGCCTGGGTTGAATCTGCTGATGTGGTAGGATGTGTAGCGGATTTATCAGGCGAGTACTTGGTTTTCTTTACTTTGTGGTGGTTTCATGAGCCGGCTTTCACCTCAGGGTGTGTCTGAGGCCTAGTCAGTCGGATCGGTGGCTATCAGAGGTCTTCGGTTGTCAGGTCTGCTGGCCACGGTTGGTTGTCGTTGGTTCCCTTGGTACGGAACAGACTTGTGTCATTAGATTTTGGGATTGCCATCATGATCTTCCAGAGATAGCTGTGCAGATAGTTCTTGGACTGTAGCTCTCGCAGGTGAGGTCGGGGCCTACAATTATACTAATTGCAGGCTTCTTATCTTTGTGCCATATCTGCCATTGCTGTAATGTTACTGCCGTTCCCTTTTAAGGCAACTGGCTTCCTGATAGCTAAGTAGGGAAAGTGTATTTTGATTAAGTGGAATGTCCGGTAGCTCTGTGCATGATTATTGATTGAAGTTGAATGTCGGGTATCTGCAGAGGCCCCTTTCTGTCTGGGTTGGGTGGGGTTTAGGCCTGGGTGATTGTTCTTTTAGAGTGGATGTGTGAACTAGATTTTTGGGGTGAACAATGGTCCCAAGCACCTATCTCTGTATCTGTGCAGTTTTCCCACAGCATAGCCCAGTTGCCTTTTTTTTAACTTTTAAAAACTATCTGAAAAATCCAGGATTTTGGTCCAGTATTTCAAAATATGGGAATTTTTGCTCAATCCTGTAATACAGCAAAATAGAAGTTTATTAACAACAGAAATGAAGACAAACAGGAGAAGAAAACTTTCTATACCCTTATAACATCGATTCAAAGATTTTTAAAAACACTTGTGGTCGTAATTCAAGCACTTTTCTTTATGGATTGAACAATAGCAACTGCATTGCATTGGAATCAGAGAGAGCTTACATATATTGTTACAATTCAAAGATCATCTGGTGCTATACTCTAACAAGACTCAGTCCAGCTCATTACCAAGGGGGAGAGGCTTGTTTTTAATACTTTGATGAGTTTGAAATATTTAAAATTTCAACTCAGCTGATGGAGCTGTAGCTCTTTCCTATTATTATGCTTCTGATTTGGCTTCGTTCTTATGCTATCTTATCCCAGAAAGTGATTCAATTCCTTTTCTATTTTTTTGAAACTTCAATGAATGTTACTTCTTTTCCATTGATTGTATCCCAGCACTCTGGTCTGGGATTAATAATAGTATTTTTTTTTATTTGAAGTTAATGTCATTACTTTATTTTCCTTTCCTTAGGAAATCTGCTTAGCACATGTGACTCTATCGAGGAAAAAATACTTCACAGCACTTTCGATCTTGATAGATGCTTCCCTCCCAAATTACATCCCAGCAGATATGGAAGGCAAATGAATGTCAGATTCTGTAAAGTTTTCTGGGTAGTTCCCGAGGAACACTAGGTAACTTACTCAATCTTAGAATTATGGGTATTCAAGGTATTAACAGCTAATTGTTAAATCTAAACACACAGGTAAACCCATAGTTTTAAATTGGAATTCCAAGAATCGAAACTTGCAGTAAATGATACTAACATACAAACGTACATCTTACCATTGAATCACAATATGCATCGGAACATAGCAAGTTCTCCACAAAGCCACAGTCAATCCTATCTGGGAACTATGTCACGGTCCTTTCAAACTGGGTGTACCTACACCAAAAGGCTTGCAGTGGTTCAAGAAGGCCACTAGGGATGGGCAATTATTAACCAGCAACACCCATAGATGATGAATGAATTTAAAAAACCATCATGTCATCTGGAGGATTTGAAATAATAATAGTGACGTGGAACAATAAGTCTTAAATTAAAGCCATTCTCAGTAATTACACCACTGAGGTGTTACCAACTGTCCTAAGAGGCCACCTAATTCACCAATGTCCTTCAGGAAAGGAAATCCGCCCAACTTTACCTGCTCTGGCCTGTGTGACTCCTGACACACAACAATGTGGTTGACTCAACTTTTCACTGAGATGGTGAGCAAACCACTCAGTTCAAGGGCAATTAGGGATGGGGCAAGAAATACTGGCCTTACCAGTGAAACCCACCTCCCATAAAAGAACTTTAGGAATCAATTCAGCAATTTTCCCATTTCTAAATATTAGAACCAAAATGTTTCATACGTTCAGTATGTTCCTATTTTATTCATCAGAAAAGCAATGAAAGAGCTGGAAAACAGATAGTGACCCAGACACATTAAATTTGATAATTAAGAAAACACCAGCCTTATATCAACATTTACCTTTGACAATAAAAGGTGTTAATTCTCTACCCTCCTTCTCAAGGCTAGTTGTGTTAGAAGGGGCAACGAAATCTGCCCTGCCAGACCTGTGGCATCTATCCAACAATTTCTGTGATTGTTTCTGATTTCCAGCATCTGCAGTTTTTTTTCAGTTTTTATATTAGAGGGGTATTTTTTGTGACTCTGCATGTTAGGAATTCCCATGATCTCAATGTATTTAAGAATCACCCTCAAAGTCTATGTTGGAGCAATAGTCTATATCCATAAAGATTAAAAATAATTGTGATTCCAATCCAGTTTGGTTGGTTAAAACTGAAATGCTTCTCGGTTAGAGACTCACAATTTAATGCACATTAGGCTGGAAGTTCACATCCCAGGGTAAGTGTACGCCCAAATTACATTGCTGAGCACACACTGACAATCCTTAAATTAGACTAACTTTGCTCTTAACTACACAGCAGAGATTTGGCTGTTGAATGATAATATACAGAGCCATAGCTGACTGGTTTATTGAACAAAAGAGTTAAAATCTGCATTCCTAAACTCTGCATATCTGTTGAAGCCCACAACCAAGAACACGCTTCTTTATGCACAGAAAAATTGCTCCCTTCATAAAAGAACATTTCCCTGGAAAATGAGGTATTGATTTTCCTGATTACATTCAAAGCACATATCTTAGTTTAAGTGATTTGTCATGACAAATTACAAAACATTTTTCCTCTCACTTGTTGAAAAATGTGCTGCAGAAGTACCATAATTTTGGAAAAAATGTCCTGAGATCCTTCTACAATCAGCTTTGTGTATTTAAGCTCTCATCTGCAAGGAGGAAACTCACGCTTCTAGAAATTAGGGACCAGAACTGATCAACCTTTCTAAAGCAAAACCACTCCCTGCCAGTCTGGACCACTCAACAACATTTGCAATTGAGAAATTTCTCAATCATCAAGGGGTCACTATTGAAATTCCATTCTGAGATTGGAAACTTCAAAACTATCCAATTTTGCTGCATCATTTGGGGATTTTTAACTGTGTTGGTGGTGGATGGAGGTGATAAAGCAACCTCATGACCCATTTGTTTTCTTTAAGTTCTGTTATTTGTAGGTAAGGTACCAATAGAAATGTGAGGCAGTAGGAAGTGACTTTCAGAATAGGTAGAATCTGCTATGATCATTAATTTAAATATTCTTATATGGATATTGTATCGAAAATATCCTAATTAGAGTGTCCAACAGGCTCAGAAACTGGGGAACAGAGCTGAAGGAAACAGGGGAGGGATAATCCTCAGAAATTCAAATTTACATGTCAGACAACCATCAGCTTATCAAATACCTTTGTGCTTAAAATATTTTATCACATTTAGCAACTACTGAATACCACAGCATTCTTCAAAACATTTGGTCTTTGCACCTTCACATTTAAACTCTGAGACTTTACATCTGCCACGATGCAACACTCGAAATATGAATAATTTTTAATTCATTAAATTGAGGTCAGTGCATTTACACCCAAATTGGCCAATCTAGTTAAATCTTTTCAGATGACAGCCA